CATCACATAATTAGATACATAAGATATTTTATAAATACTTAATTGATTCGTTATTCACTTTGCTTTTGAGGTCTTTGTAAGATTTCCTTAAGTAACTAATATTACTGGGGCATTTCAATTAGGAAGGTGTTTATCATAGACTTGTTTAAATCAAGATCAAGCCAGTTTCAATAAAATCTTGATTTAAACTAAGTTCTAAATAATCCGTCCTAAATATTCTCTTTAATAAGTTTCTATTGTTTTTTTTTAAAAAAGGGGCTTTTGGGGTTGCTGGAGAGAGAATTCAGCGGGTAAAGTGCTTGCCTTATATGGTCCCAAGTTGGATTCTATCCACAGAACCACAGATGGTCCCCTGAGCCCCACCAGGAGTGTTTGCTGAGCAACAGAACCAGGAGTAAGCCCTGAGCACAGCTGGATATGGCCCCAAAACCCACCCCCTCTCTCCAACAAAAAGCTTATTGGTGGAGGGTGTTACTCCAAAAAATATTTTTTCACAACTCACAGACACTTTTGGCTTTAGATTTAGGAACTGCACGCTATTAACTTAATGAGGTCTTAGGGGAGAGCTTCAACTGCATCAGAAAACTTAACGATGCTTTGTTTTATGCACTGAACTAAAACAATGGAAGAGAGGTTTATGAAACTGTTCAGACATAACCTTCTCTAACCAAAAAGGTGAATGTAGAAGGAGAGCAACCATAATTAGAAACAAAAAAATTCAAATTGCTTCTATATGATACTAACTTTCACATTTTGTTTACTTTTTCCACCACCAAAAGACACAGAACTATTTCCCGGCACCTTATTTGGATAAGGCGAGAAACTGGAAAGGAAACAATCAGGTACACCTCTCTATATGGCTTGGTTTGTTGTAACACACTAAGGCTGACCCAAATAGATAACGAGCCCGTCGTCTAATTACAAAAGGCTAAAAGGAAGAGCCATTGATCAACCCTTCAAATATTAGTCTCCTTTGGTAGTAACTGCCCATTTATGTTTAGTTGCCTTTTAGTTAGCAACTCTATAGATTTGCTTAATTAAATCTTTCAATTATTGGGAATTTATTCTGTAATCATTTTTATCTTGAAAGATATAGGAGAGTGTTAGTTTAAGAGAAAAAGGTTCCAGTGAGAGTTGATAACTTTGGGGATTTATAGTTGCTATTTGACAAACAGAATGACTACCTCCAGTTATATCATGTAAAATTTTGGACTTACAACTACTATTAAAGACTTCATTGAAAGTTGGACAGCTCAGCGAATGTCACTTCAATCATTGGATATATCACCATCACAACTTTCGCATTTTGATCCTTAAACCCACTCATTTTCACTCTCGACTGGCTTTGGGCCAACACTGAGAGCCTGTCAAACATCCCCATGGAAGTCTGTGCTCTGTTTACTATGAGTAATCATCGCGCAGATTCTGTTCTCTCTGTGCCAAAGTGCTTTATTTGAGGACAATCCATAGAGACCTCACTCTGGTCTCAACAGATATGTAATAGAGAAAAGTGGTTTGTCTATGACTGGTAAGACTATAAGTGATTTTATATTTTTGTTTATTTTCCAAGATACTTTTGATTTTTTTTCTCATTTTGTTCTTAAAAAAATGCCTATTTAAATGGCAAGCTTGAATTAGTGTGAAGATAATTGGTTTATCTTACATGATGCAAATATGCATAGAATTTATTTTTGAATAATTTTATGACAATTAAAATAAATTTTTATTTATTCTAAAGGAAGGTTTCAGAGACCAGAGCTATAGTACAGTGGGTAGGACACTTGCCTTGCAAGGGGCTGATCCAGGTTTGGTCTCCTGAACCTTAGATGGTCCCCTTAGCTTCACCAGTAGTGATCCCTGAACACAAAGCTAGGAGTAAGCCCTGAGCACTGCTGAGTGTGGCCCCAAAACAAAACAAGCCAAAAACTAAATTAATGTCTCCGATTATGATGAGCTTTCTCAGAGACTGCTCAAATGCTAAGTAATCTATGTGTACCAGTATAACCTCAAAATCTGAAGACCCTGAGTCTGAATTTGTATCTAATTTATCCTTGAAGGGAACTGGCCAAGGAAGAGTGAGTTGGGCCCCTCATGTTACAAGTGTTTCCATTTTAATGAGCACCCTTTCCTTCAAAAGTACAAGGCACTGGGAAGAAAATGCTTAGTGAAATTCTAGCTCTGTAAGTCATCCAGACCATTATCAAGCACTGGGTGGAACAATGCTTCCCCCCCATAAAACCTATGCCTCCTCCTCCTCGCAAAGCATGTGACATGCATGTTTAAGCATCTCAGCTAACATCAGAGAGGAGAGAGTTTATTACAACTGCCAGAGCGATAGTCCAGCTGGTAGGGTGCTTGCCTTGCACCGGGCCGACCTCGGTCTTATCCCAGGCAATACATATGGTCTCCAGGAGTTATCTCTGAGCGCAGAGCCAGGAGTAAGCCCTAAGGCACTGGGAAGACCAAACCCACCTTTGGGTCTCAAGACAAATAAATAACTAATAACAAACAACTAAGTCCTACTAATTAGTATCATTTGGACCTAGGACTTTAGCCATTTTTTTTGCCTCAATCCCATCTACTTACTTGAGACAGTGATGGTATTTCCCTCATAGGAAAGTTGGGATTAAATGAGAAAACTCACACTTGTAACCTTTACTGCAGTGTCAGAGGATGAACAGGGATCTCCCAAAGATAATACCTGTTAGTGAAATGTGGCTGGGAAAACCACTGCCTTGAGCTTGGGTCAGCCTGTGTGAGTTTCTGGACAGAAGAAACAAACACACAAGGAATGAGTAAACAAGTTTGGTCCAACCACCTCCTAGCAACGGCCCCAGACTCTGCCTTGTATGCACAGCTCCTCTTCTTCCTTCCCTCCTAGAGGCAGGATCATGGGGTTAAAGAACAGCTGGACAGGGGCTGGAGCCATAGTACAGTGAGTAGGGCATTTGCTTTGGACGCCCCGACCCAGGTTCAATTCCTGAACCAGGTTCGATTCCCAGCATCCCATATGGTCCCCCGAGCACTGCCAGGAGCAGTTCCCGAGTGCAAAGCCAGAAGTAAACCCTGTGCATTGCTGGGTGTGGCCCAAAAAGAAAAAAAATAAACAAACAAACAAAAAACACCCGGACAGCCACTGAACTGCATGCCTCTGCCCCTGACTTCTCCATGCCAGACACATGGTGACTGCTGCAGGTCCAACGAATAAAGTGGATTTACTCAAACAGTTATGAAGAAGGGTGAGGGAGAAATACAATAGCAGGATGAACACACACACACACACACACACACAGTGGGAAGTTAACACCCCCCAAAGTTTTAAGGTGTAAGCTCAGGGGTACAAGGTAAAAGTTCATTCAATTGGTCAATTGCTCATTTGAAATCATTCCCTCCAGAAAGGTACCCACCCAAAGTAGGTAACAGGGTGGTTTGTGGGTAGGAGAGTGTAACTGATAAAAGGAACCCTTTGCCACCTACACACACACACACACACACACACACATACACACCACTGCCACTACCAGTCCTCCTCACAGCCCTAACTAGGCGCCTTCTCTTTGCTTTTCAGCCATGCCCAGACGGAGGGTAGGATAGCTGAGGTTCTCACCAAGGGAATGTGGCGATGGCCTGAGACCAAGCAAAGCCAAAGGGAGAGGGAGAGAGTGGGGCATGGCCTCACAGAGACCCAGGGACAAACAAGGGGGCAGAACAACAAGGGGACACAGGTCACAGGGGCTCGCTGCATAATTCAGAGCAGGCCACTGTACAGAGAGCAGTGTAGGGAGGCAGGAAGATGGCACTCACAGCCACAGGACCACATCCCTGTGATCTGGACATGGAACTGGGGAACAGGAGGAGTGACCTACTCGGATCAAAGAAGAGGTCTGGACATGGGAGCGGGAGTGCGGGTGAGGGGTGGGGAAGGGAACCAGACCCGTCTACCTAAACTGTCCGATATACTAAGCCTCGCGTGTAAATCTTTTATACAATATTCAAGAACTCACAAGATCAGGAATAAGCCCACTTTCGTGGTACTAAGAGGAATATGGATATGAGGTTTGTGAAAGTGATCACAAGGGAAGAGCCCAGTACCGACGTAAATATCCTAGCTGCCCCCAGCTAATTCATTTCACCCAGGACCCCTTTGACAACCAGCCTTGCAGGATGCCAAGTACAGAAAACTCCTTGTCTGCAATGCCAAACGTCTTTCCTTGTTTCCCATGTGCACCAAACCCAGCTTTCCAGCCCCTGTGCCCAGGTTCAAGGAACCCCCGAGGGCTGCGGGCTTAGCAAACATCACCACGAAGCCAAAAGCACGGCGGGAAGGGCACGGCCACCCGGGGCGTTGGCAAAGCCCCCCCGCCCCCCCGGAGTGAGGAAGTGGGCAGCCGCGCCAGTCAGCGCCGCACACGCGCCTTCTGAGTCTCAACAGCTTCCGGTGCTCTCCCCGCACAGCCCCCCGCACCCTCCCGCAACTGGGGGGCTCCTGCGCCGCCGGGGCGAGTCGGCGCAGTGGCAGAATCGGGCGAAGCACCTGCGGCTGGGCGCGTGCGCCGAGGCCGGACGGCCGAGGGGGCGGGGCTGCGGGAGAGAGGGCGGCGCCGGGAGTCGAGCCCAACGCGCGTGCGCCGAGCCCTGAAGGCCGCGGTCGAGAGCCACGCCAGCAGGAGTGGAGTCGCTTGCGCCTGCGCCGAGGCCAGGGCGCCGTAGAGGCAGGGCCGCGGGGGGGGTGGGGGGGGAGCCGCGCCGGGAGTGAAGTCGAGTACGCCTGCGCCAGGGCCGGGGCGCCGAAGAGGCGGGGCCGCGGGCGGGAGCCGCGCCAGGAGTGAAGTCGAGTGCGCCTGCGCCGAGGCCCGGGCGCCGAGGGGGCGGGGCCGCGGGCGGGAGCCGCGCCAGGAGTGAAGTCGAGTGCGCCTGCGCCGAGGCCCGGGCGCCGAGGGGGCGGGGCCGCGGGCGGGAGCCGCGCCGGGGCGCGCCGTGCGCCTGCGCCTGGGGTTGCGTGGCGCGGCGGTAGCGGCAGCGGCGGCGGCGGCGGCGGGCGGGCCGGGCGGTGCGGAGCGGCGGCGGCGCTGCGGGTGGGGCGGTCGGCGGCGCTGGTGAGCTCTGCGCGGCGGGGCGGCACCGAGGCGGCGGCGTTGTCCGCGGGGTCTGACGCGGCCCGGGGCGCGGGGTCTCGCGGAGTTTCTGGATCCCCGCCGGGTGGCGCGGGGCGCGGGGCGGGGGGCGGGGGGCGGTGCGCGCGCCCCGCGGCCGGGTGGGGCGGGGGCGGCGGCGGGGGAGGCGGGCGCGGCGGGCCCGGGTCCCAAGGCCGCGTGCCTCGCAGGTGAGGGGACGCCGAGCCGCCGGCGCAGCCGCTGCCGCCACCACAAGCCCTTGTTCCCGCTGCCAGAGGGAGCCGCGGGCGCGACAAGATGGCGGACGGGGAGCTGAACGTGGACAGCCTCATCACCCGCCTGCTGGAGGGTGAGTCGCCGCCTTTGTGCGGGCCCCGGGGCGCCAGGCCAGGCCAGGCGGGCGGGAGCGGGAGCGGGAGCGGGAGCGGGCCCCGGCCCCGCGCGCGGCGGGAGCGCCCGGGATGGGCGAGAAGCCCGGCTCGCTCGGAGGCGGCCGGCCGGGAGGGCGGGGGGCGGGCGGGCGGGCGCCTCCGAGGGGCGGTCGGCGAGGACCCGGCGCGGGCTCCGTGGAACGCGGCCCTCCGTGGGAGCGCGGGGGGGGGCGGCTGCAGACGACGGGGAAGCGGCGGGGCCCGGGACGTGCCGGTGCATCCCCGCTTGCGGCCTGCCGGCCCGGTTCTTGCAAAAACAACTAAATAAAAAATTGGCCTCTCCAGTCCGGTCGCTTTGTGAGTTTGCAGCCAGCCGGTTGTTTGTTTGTTTTTATTTCATTTTATTTTTTTTGAAACGGAGAAGCCGGGGAAGGATGGTGCACCGCGCTGCTGCCGCTGCCGCCGCCGCCGCCGTTCTTGGCTTTCTGATTACCTGGAGATGATCGCGTCCTGCTGGGAAGCGGCGCGTACTTGCATCTTTATGCCTTGAAAAGCGCCCAGGGGGGTTGTAGGATGGGGTTGTGGGGGCGTCTGGCTTCCCCCCCCTTTCCGTCCTGCCCGGCCTCATCATCAGTGTGTGTGTGTGTGTTTTGGGGGGCTACAACCTGTTGGGTCACAAAATCGGCCGCGCCGAATTTTTGCTACGGCCTTAACAACCGGCTGAATCCGGAAGCGAAGTTTTTATCGGGAACTGTTGAAGGTGTCGCTTTCCTCCGCTTTATCCTTGGGGAGCCCACCCCACGCCCCCCCCCCCCCCGGGCCCCGGTGCGTTCGTTTGTTTACGGTTTTGTGGATCTTAACGCGTGCGGACCTTTGCCGTGTCAAGACCAAGACGGTCTCTGATGAGAACCGGTCCCGGGGGTCCTTGACACCGGAACCGAGAGCCCGAGCTGCGGGGCGGAGGCTGCTGGCCTGGATGGGGCCCGACGCGGGTGGTTGGCGGTGGGGAGGGGGTTGTAACTTTGTATATCAAAGATGGAAACATTAGCGCTGTTGTAACCATGTTGCCGCAACTGTTTGGTTTTTTTTTTTTTAAGAATAAATGCGGGAGGGGTAGTTGCTTTGTGTAAGTACGAAATGGTATTTTTTCACACTTAACATTTTGTTGACTTTGGTAAATATAAATATGATTTCACCACCATTTTGTAATTTGTGTTTGAGTTGTAAATTGAACCAGTAAGAAAAATCTGATGGTTGTAGCTCCTGTTTCGCCCCTCCCCCATACGGTAGAATATCGGCACAAAGAGAAGTAGATAGATACGTTTGAAAACGTTTGATCTGGAGGGGATCTGGGGCTCAGTGGTTGAGTGTCTATGCCTTGGATATGTTGAGTTCGATCCACGTGTCTTGAAAAAAAAAACAAAATGAAATATTTAATCTCAAGACTTTAAGGTCAGTGCACCTTTTGGAATCCTAAGTGCTTCAAAATTTTACTAGTGAATTTTTTCAAGCTTACTAGGAAAACATAGGGTGGGAAAGGTGCCCCAACTTGGTGATTTCTTGTTTTTTTTTCTTTTTTCTGTGCATTCAAATTAAGTGCTTCATGTGGTCAGAGGAGCTTTTTTTGGGTGGAAACCCCGACACATTTCCTTCTGTTTTGGGTGTTTATTGAACTTCTTTGTGCCGGGCACTAGGAATGCAAAGATAAAACTCCCTCGTCTGAACAAGTGATTTTTTTTTTTTTTTTTGAGGTTTTCAAGCTTTCTCTGTTCATCTGTTCAGTGCACTGTGGGTGAAGAATTTCAGGGGAGTTTGCTACATCTGGTGATGCTCAGGGCTTATCCTCTGTCTGTCCTCAGGTATCACTCCTGATGGTGCTGGGTGATGGGGGATCACATACAGCGCTTAGGATTTGAACCAGGGCTGCCTGTCCTGCCCCCCCTTCCGCCCCCATTTCTCCAGGCCTGAGGAATTTCACTTTTAAATTCAGGGAAGTCTAGTTTCACAGTACCTCCCTGGGATTCTTAAATTCTTTGTGTATCTGTCCTTCCCCTCTTCCAAAACAGATATCTAGGAGAGGCTTTGATATTCATACATTTCATTGGACTGTCCTTTCATAAATCACTCCTGTAATTTAAATACTAGTGCTGTTTTGTATTGTCTCAGTATTAAGTGAACAGGCAAATTAAAATTGGGCCAGTATTTCTGGGAGGGGAAAGAAAGTTCCTTATCTCGGTTCAATTTCTTTTCCCCCTTTTGGGTGGGGTGGGACTCCCAGGGAGTGCTGTGTTTTTCAGGGTGCTTGGGATCCTCTCTCTATACTTCTTAGCCAACCAGTCTGGAGGGTTCAGGACTAAGACCCAAAGATGCAGTGCAGGGGACTGCCAGGGCCACCGTTTCGGTGCCTGGGGATGGCAGTGTGGTGCCTGGAATCAGCTAACCCCTTGCTTTTTCCTGGCGCTTATTCTTTTTTTCTGTTTAAATTTTTTTTTATTTTGGATTACACCTGGCAGTGCTTAGAGGCTGTTCTTGGCTCTCTGCTCAGGAGGTGAGCACCACTTCTGGAGGTGCTGGGGGGCTGGGGACCAAGTTAGGGATGTCTTCATGTACTGCAGGCATCTTAATCCCTGTGCAGTTTCACCTTGGCTGTGCATTTTTCATTCAGTTTTTTTGAGGTATTGACATTCCCACTAGAAATATTGATGTTTAAGGGTTATACATCACACCCACCACCAATATTCCTATATCACTGTCTCATTGCATTTTAAAGCAATTGTGGATGTGATGTTTTTTTTTTAATTTTCTACTTTTTAAATATCAAACTCTTGGTCATTCATAGCACACACTACATTTATAGACTACTTTGTGCTATTTAGTGAAAAATAATGTCCTAATGTTATGGTTTGCCTGGTGCATATTCTAGTGCATGTTCCTGTGGTAAGCTACAGAGACCTTCCACCTAAATTTTGGTCATACTCCATCGTGCTTGATAGGTTAAGGAGTTAGGAGTTTGCTAAGGAGTTAGGGTGACGGTAGGAGTACAGAAGAATTAACTGGAGAACTTTCTTCAGACCTGTGGAAGTGTATTTTGCTGGAGGAATGGGATGAGGAATGAATCTGATGTGTTTGGGAAGAGGATTGTGTGGTAAATTGCTTCACACAGATTGATGATAGTGTTGGCTTTGTTCCTAACCAGACTTGATCCAAAGCTGGGCGGTACAGAAAATTGTTGATAAATAGCATGCCTATGAAATCTGTTGGTAACTGTAGCTGTATATTGTTTGTTGTCATATAGACTTAGCTTAGGTACTTGTAAAACTGTTCAGTTTTTACTACAGTAGTACAATAGTTACGTTTCTTACTGTAGAAAATTTGAAACAAACAACCCACACCCCAAACTTACACAATTTAGAAATGCTCGTTGAAATTTCAGTAATTTTCCCCTTGTCATTAGAAGGTTGTTTGCATAGCTTATGTGGTAATTTTCAAATTCATGCTTTGTGGAAAATTTTCTTAAGACTTTTTAACTTTGCCACAAAGTTGACTGGTTAGAATGTGAATTATGCAATATTAGCAGGCTATAAACTTCCAGGGCGGAATATGATTATATTCATATTTTGTGGTCTGTGAAAATGTTATGATGCTTGCTTTTTTAAATCTATTTTCCACTTACTTCACCCTGTCAGTTACATGAATTTGTGAGATTGCCGTGGTCATTTAATATATATCACTCTTCGTTGTTGATCTTGTACCCTGAAATTTCGTTAGGCTAATAGTTGTCCTCAGTTAATCCCCTCCCCCCATTTTTGTTTTTAAATACAGGAACCACCATTAGAAATGTAAGGGGAGGGCTGAGACTGATTTTCATCAAGTCCCCGCTTCCAGGACCTGTCCCAGGACCTGTCCCAGCTGCACTGTTCTGCAGTGGTGGGTGGGGGGTGCAGATGTGGTGAGAAGACTGAATTCAAGGTGTCTTCCTCTCTCCTTATTTGTCCATTTGAAGGTAGAAATAGATTAAGCCGTTTTCACTTTGGGGTGGGCAAGAGAGAGAGAGGGAGAGAGAGTGAGTGAGAGTTGCATACTTTTAACACTGAGCTGTATCCCTGAGCCTATCAGAAGTATGTATGGAGTATATTTACAAGTTTTAGTGTATTTATATTTGTGCAGCTATCACTAGCTTGATTTACTTTAGTCAGTACCATCGCCAAACAAAACAACATCAAAACAACTTGTTCCTGCTTTTCACTTCTCCCCTACCTCTTAGCATTAAGCAACCCTTAATCCTGGTGCTTCAGTCTTTTTACACCTCTGGACTGGCTCCTGTCTCCATTCTGGCCCATGGACCACAGTTAAAACCACTGTGGTAGATCATTGGTTTTTAACCTTTCTGCACTTACCTACTTACTGGTGGTTGAAGACTGCTGCCTATTTTCTATAGAGTTGCCTATTCTGTATGTTACAAATAAATGAAGTCATGCTCCATGAACTCTTATCTTTAGCTTGTAATGTTTTTAAAGTTCACCCCTATTGTAACGTCTCTATACCTCATTCCTTTAATGACTGAATTGTGGAATAATTCCTTTCGTTTTATTACTAATTATTATGTTCTTTCCCCTTTTGACTATTATGAATAATGCTTTACAAACATTTATGTACATGTTTTTTGTTGGTATGTGTCTTCAGTTTCCTTGGGATATATGTGGGTCATATAATAACTTTTTTTTTGAGGAATTGCTTGATTTAACCTCCCACTCCTGTACCTCAATTCCTGGCATAAAAGGAATGTACTGCCACCAAGCCACATTCCCAGCCTGGACTGGCATGTTTAAAACCTGCTTTGATCATGTTTAATTTTGACCCAGTAATATAAAAGTTGAGCATTTTGAAGGAAGTACGGTTTCTCCTGGCAACTTGAACTTCCACAGAGAAAATGATACTTATTAAAGACAAGATTTGTTAGAAACTAAGAGGTGGACTG